CATGCCGGGCGCGTGTGCGTGTGTGCCCAAGATCCCAAGAGGAGAATGGAGGAGAAGGGATTGCGGTGTGGCCATTCCCCAGGGGGTGATTTCTCGCTTTCTGTCTCTCTGTCTCTCCAGTGAGTGCACATGAAAATCTCTAAAAAAAATAAATAAATAAATAAATAAAAAAAGGGGTCAACAGGTGGTGTAGTGGTTAAGGGCGCTGCACTCCCACATGTCTGACTACGGTTCGAGTCCCAGACCTGGTGGCTTGCTTTCTCACTTTCCCTCTCTCTGTGTCTTTCTCTGGTCAAATTAAAATAAATGAATGAGTAAATGAAAAGAAATTTAAAAAAATAATTCTTAAAAAAAATGTAGAAAAAGAATCCATTCTCTGGGAGCATGAAATTGAGGATTTGATGCTAGGCTTCACCTTATCCCTTATCAAATCAATCTCAAATTGAAATGTTATCGGGGAACAAGGTTTGCACTTGAGCGTTCAGGGTGAGACAGGCTGGAGGAGGGAATCATGGTGTGGTCGGATCTGTGATGGTATTCTTCTCTCTCTCTGTTTTTACAAATAATTATTTTATTTATATAATTTTATGTGTTATTACTATTTTTAAAATTTGACCAGAGAGAGAAAAGAAAAGTGAGAAAGGAAGCTACCAGGTCCGGGATTCGAACTGTGGTCAGCCATGTGGGAGCCTGGTAGTTTAACCACTACACCTCCTGGCCCCTCTTCTCTGTCTCTCTCTGTCTTGTGCATACATGCACACACTCTGTCATGAATAAAGTAAAACATTTTTGGGACCAGCAGTTAGCGTAATGGCTATGTCGCTGGACTCCCACATAGTCGACCGCGGTTCGCGTCCCGGACCCGGTGGCTTAAACTCACGCCGGGCGCGTGTGCGTGCGTGCCCAAGATCCCGACGGCATTATTCACAATCGCTAAGACATGGAACCAATCCAAATGCCCACGAACAGGTGAATAGATTGAAATACTGTGGCACATATACTCTATGGAATACTACTCAGCATAAAAAGAAAAAAAAAAGAAGAAAGAAAAACATTTTAAAATAAAATCTGGGTTAACAGATGTCACTGGACTCCCACATGGCCACTCCCACATGTGGTTTCAGTCCCAGACCCTGTGGCTTGAAATTCACTCCAGGGATGCCTAGTACTCATGATCCCAGGAGGAGAATGGGGAAGAAGGGATTGTGGTGTAGTCATCCCTGCCATCCCTGTGTATGTGTGTGATTTCTCGCTTTCTGTCTCTCTGTCTCTGTCTCTCCAGAGAGTACACATGCCCTAAAGCAAAAACCACTAAAAAATAACACGAGGCCGGCAGGTGGCGTGGAGACTGAAGCACTAGACTCCCACATGGCCGACCACGGTTCGAGTCCCAGGCCTGGTGGCTTGCTTTCCCACTTTCCCTCTCTGTTTCTCTCTCAGTCTGTTCCTCTCTGGTTAAATGCAAGAAAGAAAGGAAAAAAAGAAGGAAAGAAAGAAAGAGAGAGAGAGAGAGAGGGAAGGAAAGAGAGAAAAACCAAGAGAGAAAGAAAGAAAAAGAGAAAAAGAAAAAGGAAGATAGTCAAATTAAAAAAAAAAAGAAAAAGAAAAAGAAAAGAAAGAAAAGAGAAGAGAATTCGGATGCTGAGCTTCGAAGGCCAGCAAACCCAGAGCTGAGGCCTGAGCGCAGGGACCCCCACCCCTCTCTCGTGGGAAGGCGAGTCAGAGACGAAGCCCGCCAGGCCCTTCCTGCGACCCTGAAGGCACACACACAGGAGAGGCCCAGCTGGCGGGCTCATTGTTGTCCCGGCAGGGGGACGTCATGTAGAGTAAACACTGTCAAGAGCTTCCCCGGTTCTGGTCCTCAGCTTGTCCACTGGGACCCCGACAGTCCTGGGCTGGGAGCCCAGCCCTGGCCCTGAGCCTCTCCTGTGCGATGCCAGGTCAGTCCCTTCCCTGGGGCCTCAGTTTCCTCCTCGGAGAAATGGGGACAAGTATATAGCAACTCCTTCCTTGCCACGAGGGCTTCGAGCCAAGCTAGAGAGAGGCAGGGGTCTCCCCTCTTTTTTTTTTTGCCTCCCTGCCCAGGGCTGGAAACTCACCCACGTGGGCTCACAGGGTTAGCAGGAGCAATGGGGTGGCTGGTTTTGGAAGATCAGTAGCTCCCTGTCAAGGGGGTGTGTAAGAATGTAAGAAAAGAGGCTGGCAGTTGGCGTGGTGGTTAAGGGCGCTGGACTCCCACATGACTGACCATGGTTCAAATCCTGGACCCGGTAACCTGCTTTCTCACTTTCCCTCTCTCTCTCTCTCATTCTGTCCCTCTCTGGTTAAATTTAAATAAATAAATATATAAAGTTAAATACAATAATTCTTTTTCTTTAGAATTATCATTTTTAAAAAATTGTATTTATTATCATTATTTTTCAATTTTGACCAGTGAGAAACAGAGAGATACAGAGAGAGAGAGAGAGAGAGCTGCTAGGTCCGAGATTTGAACCATGGTCGTCCATGTGAGAGTCCAGTTCCTTTAACTACCACACCATCTGTTGGCCCCTAGAATTATTTTTTAATTTATTTAATTTATTTATTCATTTATTTTAATTTGACCAGCGAGAGACACAGAAAAAGAGAGAAGGAAAGTGAGAAAGCAAGCTGCCAGGTCCAGGACTCGAACCGTGGTCAGCCCTATGGGAGTGTCCGGTGCCTTCACCACCACGTCACCCACTGGTCCCAATAAAATAATTCTTAAAGAGGGAACCAGCAGTTAGCGTCATGGCTATGTCGCTGGATTCCCACGTAGTCGACCGCAGTTCGCGTCCCGGACCCGGTGGCTTAAAACTCACGCCGGGCGCGTGTGCGTGCGTGCCCAAGATCCCGAGAGGAGAATGGAGGAGAAGGGATTGCGGCGTGGCCATCCCCCCTGGGGGGTGATTTCTCGCTTTCTGTCTCTCTGTCTCTGTCTGGCGAGCGCACACGCCTTATAGCAAAAACCTCTCCAAAAACAAAAAAAGAATGGAAGAAGAGACATGAAAAAGAAAGGGCACCCTGGGGAGTAGCTGGCGAAGCTTCCGGAAGCCTGTCTTCAGCAAACCCAAGGTTGATGGTGGCCTGGCAGGCACGGTCTTTGAGGCCAAAGGGACCTGCTTCCTGCTTCAAATTCCAGCCTTTCCCCGGGCCTCAGGTCTTCACTGCAAATCCGAACGCCAAGCCCTGGCGGCTCGGTCAATGGCGTGCCGTGTGGACGAGAGTAACCGGGTCCCCTCCAGGAGCACAGAGTGTCCTAGGGGCCATGGCCTGAGTCACCTTCCCCGAGTGACGCACAGGGTGTCCTGGACGGATGGCTGGCTCCAGGAGGAGGTGAAGGGGATGCAGACAACCAGTCATGACCTGGGCGTGTGCCAAGACCCACTGCCACGTCCCCGCCGAGGCCCCCCACCCTCTCGCCAGCCATTTGCACACCACACTTTACGGCTAGCAAAATGTTTCCATGCCCTCGACTTCGGACACCCTCCCTTTTTTTTTTTTTTTCTTTTTAAAAATTTTGCTATAGGACAGAAAGGGAACTGAAAAGACACCCCAGGGGAAATGGCCACACTGCAATCACTTCTCCATTTTCATCTCAGGATTTGGGGCACGCATGTGTGCATGTTCTGCGTGTCTTTCAAGCTGCCGGGTCCGGGACTTGAACCACACAGTCGGCCAAGTGAGATCCAGCTACCTTAACTTCCACGGCCCCTGCTGGCCCTGAGACTCCTCTTTTTTTTTTTTTTTTTTTTGTATTTTTTTTTTTATTTTTA